CTGTTGACTACTGTTCGAACACCAAATACGCTGCATGCGTGGGGGTGAAACCCGCATTTTTAAGGGATATATATATTTGCTTCCTATTTCCTCAAAGACTTGTCTTTTCCAACAAAAAGCTCGATCAAAAAGCATTGTATGTAGGTGAATGTGAATTAGAAGTAGCCTCGGGTCATTCGAGAGAAAAAGCAGGCATCTATAATGGTATATCAGGCATTCGAGAATTCGCTCACTATAACTAGTGAAAAATTCACTTTTTGAGCGGGATGTGTTATCAAGTTCCCACTTTCCAGGTGATGACAGCTAATTTCTTGTTTGTTTTGTTGTCCTGTTTACTTAAAGTAGTATAGGCACTAGAGTGCCCTTGCATGTGCTCAACACTGTTACATCTTGCAATGCAGTCGACATTTACTAATGTTATGTAAATAGATGATTCCGTGTGGATGCTTAGATCTGTAGGTAGGTTAATGCATGGAGGTGGTAATGGGTTAAATGCGGATTGAGGGGTTATATTAGGAAGTTTTCAGATAGGCATTCTACATATGAGCGGCCCAAGACATTCCGAGTTGGCTGGCTTCGGGTCACGCAAAATGTTTATGCTTTTAAAGAGAGTAATGTTTTGTCTAGTACTGTAAAATATCGTCTAAACACAAATTCTTTGAACTTTCAATTGCGAAGAATATCGCGAACCAAAAACACTTGCTTTACGGTAATGTGCACTTTCGTGGTCGCCTGTTTTACTTGCTATGTACCATATTTCGCATAGGTAAGTATCAGTTATGATCAACCTACTGGCGGGTCATGAAATCGAAAACATGATATGTGTCTCGCTTATAGGTCTTCACACCATTTTCACAGACGCATGTAGTGCATACCCGCAAATTATGGCCCGTGTAATGCGGGTGTGCGAAACAGGTAATTGACATACTGTTTGGGTCAGCTGAGAAAAGATGATGAAAGGCAGAGCAAATTATAACACAGTAGTGCTGAGGAGCCTCTATCAAAGAAAATCCTGTACCTGCATCAGCAACCTTGTCGGTGAATTAAAACTTTTGTTGGACGCAAATAACAACCACGATTCGAGCCACGTTTGAATTCAGGCTTTTTTTATGTGACAATCGAGTATACCACTGCTGAGCCGCAAATTTGCCACAAACCACTAAGAAATGAACCCTATGGAGGCGTATAATATGGCAACTAATTTTGCAGTTTTGGATAGCAACTTTCATTCAATGAACAATACTTCAGTAGTTCTTTGACTCGGCAAACAATAATGAAGCGCTTCTCACCACCAGTAATCTAATGATCACTGTCTATGAAATGCGCGCAATCATAACATATCGTACTGTTCGTTTTAACAAAACTGCAGTCTCTGCCATGTCGCCAGTTGCGACATTATGTTGGGCCATCAGCTATCATTTTGGCGTTAGTACAAACAACATACCTGTAAGCTCATAATGTGCACAGCACTCAACTTACTGCAACACATCGACCTAATTTGCAACACTAGGCTCAAATAATAAATAAATATATAAGCTAGAAAAGGTAGGCTGCGTCATATCAAAGCAATTCCCTCAATGATGGTATATCGGTCAAATTTTTCATTCAGAAGTTGTGATGATTGGTTTCTTTACAATTGCTATCAATGCGACAGGTCGAAATCAATAGCCGTGGTCACCTAAGACACACCGAGTTACCTAGTGCGTGCGAAATCTCGGATAACCTACCGATATTAAATATATGGGTTGTTTTCAGGCTGAAGTTTGTTATATACATGTGATGGAAGAAATGATAGCCTAAATCAACATTTTTTTAATTCAAAATTATTGTGATTGCAGATGTAGATTAGCTTTGTGCAGCGCAAGAGCCGTTTTTGTTTTATCGGTGCCACCGATATTGGCACATATGTTTTTGAGCAATATTTGGGACACGCTTGTTTCGAGAAATACATTACCCATTGACCAAAGGAATGCTATCTCGGTCTCGCGCGAGCGCAGTGGCTGGAACACTATATATTCAGGACCACCATTTCAAATTACGGATTGAGTGGGCTTAGTAAGACAGTGATTTTTCTTTGCATTCCTGTTGTTGCGTGCATCTGTCACATGGCCACGTCATGCCTATATCAGGCACCTCGTTGACATATGTGAACAAAACCGCGGAAGGCAAATCAAATCAACATTTTGTCACTACGTGGCGTGGTTACAGCGTGAAGGATATACAGAAGAGGGTCGCAAGGGCAGGACACCGTACCAGGACTCTCTGCATAGAATGATCAAATACAAACTACGAAACATGCACAAAATGTGAAAATATTCAAAGTGAAGAAAAAATAAAAACATACACACGCGGGTGCGCAAGTTACACAAAGGAATGCTGCCATAATAGCTGACAGTAATGATGTATTTTACCACGTACAAACACTTTTTTATTTGTAAAATATTAAACGAAATGCAAGTTCAATTTGCAACATGCAGCGAAAGCCACCATGCATAGTAACAATACAATTTAACGTAATGTTCCTATAATCTTTAGCAGTTAAAAAAAGCGCTGATGGAACACAGTACACGCTATCATTAAATATTGGCTCAAGAAATGAGATTTCAGTGTTTTTTTACGCATTAATAGATCATGATGTTTTGATTGGGTGAGAGAGAAAATTGCACATTTTGATAGCAAAATTGGATGGTATCGTTTTGCCGTAATTTGGAAATGCTTTCGGGAGCAAGAAATTATTTTATTCAGCAAAATGAGTTGGGTTAATATGCTACAAGAAATGCAATGAAATAAAGTCGTGGTTGAGATCTTGATTGATTAACCTGAAAAACACGGTGATTAGGTTGAGTGCAAAGAAGTTGTTAGCTGTGAGCACTTTATTTTTCGTGCGTACAATATTATTGTTATTGAGACTAAAGTTTAATATGATGCGCACAGCTTGGTTTTGTATGTGTTGAACAGATGAGTGGTGGCACTGATGCGTGTTGCCGTTGGTAGTAAGGCCATAAATTATATGGCTATGAATTAATGTTTGGTGAAGTGGAAGGAGAACAGAGGTAGATTAGCAATGTCTAGTTTTCATTAGAGCTTTTAACCGAAAAAAGTTTTCTTCTAAACTTGAGAAAGATGTTAGTGGAATTTGAGTTCTTCATTGAGATAAATACCGAATAATAAAACACATTCGCTAGTAGAAAGAAAGTAGGAGACAAACGTTACGTAAGATGAAAAGTGCAGTCGTATTTGAGAACAACGGACAACAATAAATTTTTCTTTCTTTAAAATTTAGGATTGAGTTATTATTGCGACACCAAGTGTCAATGTTTCCAATGCACCATTTCTTTATTAGTTAACGATTGTAAATATACATATGATTTTCAAACAGTCGTATAACATCCATTGTGAGCGTGAAGTGTGTTGGGCAACGTTATCATAATAGAGAATGCATAATAATGGTCCCAAGATTGAACTTTTTCGCACCCCCTGAATAATCATTTTATTCTACGAAAACTTCCCGGATAAATGAATTGTCAGCTTTTTGTCACACAAGTAGTTTCTGAAAAAAAACGTTAACGCTGGACCTGTTACTCACCGGCTTCTAGTTTTTTAGTAACATACCGTGATTATTTGTATGGAAAGCCTTGCAAAGTTGTAAGTTACGGAAGTAACAAAAAGTAATTTGTCAATAGAATGGCTATTGTAGTCTGTTAGTGAAATTACCGTGAAGTCAGTTGAACTGCCTTAACGAAAAATGAATTGGCAGTTGTTCAAGAGAATAAATTTTTACGTCTCTATTGAGGCGACTAACAAGCAGTTTATGAATTATTTTCTCATGGAGTATGAAACAGAAATAAGTCGGCAGATAGAAATATTTGTCCTGTCCCCTTTGTTAAAAATAGGTACAACGTTTGTGTTCTTATAAGCAATCGGCGAAATTTCAGTTATAAAAACATTGTTAATTATACTGGCTAGTGCTTGAGAAAATAAATTGACTTACTTTTTTTAGGTGGCGAGCATAGATGTCAAATATTCAGGGCAAGGCAGCCTTAAGGTTCTTAATTGCGATAAAATTGTCTTCTGTTGTTACAGGGAAAAATAACTAAAAACGTAACTTCGTTTATGCTGCATACAGCTTCGCTGTAGTCTTGATTGTATAATTCAAGAAAGAAGTCACTGAAATCATTTGCAATTTCAAGCACATCATTGTGCATAAAATGAATATATTTAGGTCTAAAATTGAAGTTTGACGTGGAGTCCTGTTCGGGAATGAATTTAGCGACTCCCAATTCTTTATAGAACTATTCTGACGGCTTAAGAATATTTTTTCGTAATAACTTTGCTTAGCTTTCTTTAATGAAAATTTAAGACCTTGCAATATTTTTTGTTTCTTGATACTAAACCAGAACTAAGTGGTCACTTTTTTGTTTCTTTGTATAGGCTTTGTTTTTTACGCATACTTTCAAGAACACATTTTTATTGTTCATTAACATTAATATGTAAAGTTTAATGTCTTAAAACTACTACATGATTCTTGTGCATGCCGGAGCGAACGTCTTCGGTAAATTTGACCACATGGTTTTGTAGAACGTGCACCGACACCGTAAAGTTGGAGCACTTTTTTGTGTTCTGCCTAGCACATAATCACACACATTCAAGAGTTTGTACTATGCAATAAACACTAAGGTGACAGAAAAGGTAGAACGTGGTGCTTCTATTCAATTCATGTTGCGTATTGCAGATAACAAGTAAGTATGTTCAAATATAAACAAAAACAAACTTGCTCGGCTGCAGTTCTATTAAATGCTTCACTGAAGTGATATATCGCCTATTGGAAGAACGCGCGAACTGACGAGAACTCTGGAATGTAAACGCACACAAGGACTCTTAATTCTTTCGGTACCCTTGTGTCTAGTGCTCACAGAAATTTTAGCTTTGATGACCCTCACCAAAGACCTCACCAATGATTCTGAGACGTACTAATCTTTAAATTATGGGCTGGTTCTTACCACTGACAAACGCCATCTCGCACGTGGAGTGACCGTAGACGATATAGTAGATGCTGACGGCGCGCAGGCCGTGCAGGAACCGCAGTTGGTAGGAGTCAGACAACCTTTCGGGCTTGGACGCCAGGAGCCTCAGGTTAGCCGGTATTGAGAAGCACCTCAGGACGTTCACCGCCGCTTATGCGAAGAAGTGTTATTAGGCATGTAATATTACGACCAGCAAATAGCAATAACAGTTTCAAGGGCACATTCTTTTACTATATCAGCATATTGCAATTTCAAAACGGTAATGAGCCCTGCAACTGTTAGAGTAGTTAAATTTGCTTCGAGCCTTTTCTGTAATTTAAATTAGTAATAACCGGAGTATTCTGAACTAAACTGTCAGATGCTTCATGCGACATCAAAAATGACGCACAAATTACCCCTACCCCCTTCACAGTGGAAAGAGACACAGTAGTGTCCTGATGTGTTTTGAAGCATTTCGTTGCAATCAAAACATACTCTCAAAACTCGTCGTCGACCTGCTAGAAGGCACGAAGTCGTTTCTCCTGAACGGCACCGTGGAAAAGAAACAAGTTACCCCACACACCTCTGGTTTCCTTTTCTGTATTCTTGGAACCATCACAGAGCTTCAGCAACTTGCCGCGTCGTTTTGTTCCATGCAAAATGCAACATGATATATGAGCAATTTTCTCGATCAACAATGTCATCATAGTCCCATTAAAGAAAGATCCTGCTTCATATTTCATTCCTTTGTCTGGTTGGCGAGGCAAGGCAGAAAGTGAGGTAGTGCTTTGGGTAGGTTACGTAACTACGCTATTAACACAGTGCGGTCTGCATTTGAAAACAGCATCATTAAGGTGGGATGCAAAAGATCATCATCACGTGATGGCATCAGCATATGACGCCATCATGACGTCACTAATTGTAAAACTTCAGGCGTCATCATGATATCAGAAAACGTGGCATCAAATGATTGTCATCACATCACATTGTCGCTTGCTCAGTCATGGGTTGATCACGGTGCAAAAGCAGGCAAGTTGCTGTTTGAGGGGGAGAAATAACTTGACTGAGAAGAGAAGAAAATGCATTTTTCCTTGCAGTCGTTTTCAGCGAATGCGTACGAGACTTTGTGCGTTTTCTCTGTTTCATTAGTTGTTCTTTTGCTCTTGAAGAGAAAGAAACAATAAAGTCACAGTTCCGCCCCAGTGGCGACGCAATGAATGCGACAGCTTCGAAACAAAATGGTATACGAACTAAAGCTAGCCGCTAATTGCATCAGGATCCAATATGGCGTAACATTACAAAACAGTGGTTCAGTAGAGTACGGGTGCACCAGAAGCGGGAGCAGTATTTCTTCTGTCCACCTCTAATGTGATGTAGTCATTGAGAATACATGACTTACAAACGTATGAGCCGTCTCACATGAAACGTACGCATACGGTTGCGGTTGACGATGTCTTCAAAGGAAAAAAAAAAACATGGCTAATCCGTCTGTTGTACGAATTGGTATACAACCAAAGTGAAACATAGGTTCACAGAAGTATATTAGGCGTTTATTGTGCATTGTTTCGCCACAAGAGCCAAGGAATCATTGCTGCCGCAACAAATTGTAGTGTCACGCGAAAAGCGTTCAGGACCTCGAAACATACAAAGTGCTGCTCGAGCAGAAGCGACCCACTACTAAAACATACACAAGATGACTGTGAACTAACAACTGTCACATCTCGACACTTCGAGTGCTGAGTAGAGTCATGTGCATAATTTTAGAGACCACGGGAGTGCTTGACGAGGCGTGGCGCTGCGCCTTCTGGCGGCTGCACGGCTCTGTTCGGGAGCGCGTACTGCGCACGCTCGTCCTATATCACCCGGCAGCCTGCCCTTTCGCTCGTTTCAACGGCACGCATCTCCAAACGATGCAGACGGTGCAAGGTAGTCGCTGTGAAGACATTGAAAAAAGCCGAGCGCTAATGTGACGACAGCACATTATTTTCGGGTTTCGGCGTGCTGCACATAGTGCGCGTTACTCCTAGGGGATCCGCGGCGCGATCACATTTTGAATGTCGAGTTAGGCACAATGAGCTCCGCCAGCAGTGTTGCCTTTTGCGCTCTCATTCGCCGAACTAACTCACGTAGTAATACCTGGTCCAAATATCATGTGTCTATAAACATGCATGAAACCACCAAACGTTCAACAGCTGCAGAAAAGACCGAGGAATAAAGGTGAAAGCAAACTCGGTTTATTAAGGATAAACCCTTTATTAAAGCCTCGGTGGTGCCGTGGTTTCGATGCTCGGCTGCTGACCCAAAAGACGCATTTTCAAGTCTAGTCGCGCATGCCGTATTTTGATTTTCTTTGTATTTTGTAATCCGTATTTTGTATTCCGTATTTTCTTGTACTATTTACCTTGCTTATGTAGAAAGAGTAGGGCACAGGGTAAGTAACCACAGCTGGTAAAAATCAATGGCAGGTGATCCACTACAGTGCGCCTTAATTACGTTGTGGTTAAGGCAAGTAAAGCCCAGCACTTTTTTGTCTTCGACCTATAATAGAGAGAGAATTGCTTCCTTATGTCTTGAATGGGCCGTTCAAGGATGGTTGTTTCGTGTACCAGCATGACAGGAGCCCGATTCACACTGCTCGCAGTGTGAAATCTTTGCTTGAGGGCCTTGCTGTTCGCACATTGGAATGGCCATCTGTAGGAGCGGACATGAATCCCATTGAAAACGTCTGGGGTCTCGTGAAGTGCTGACTTGCGGCGCGGAATCTTGGAAGTTCAACGAAGGAGACCCTATTCACGGCCATACAGCAGTATTGGGAAGCACTTCGTTTACGCCCCGAGATCGTGGCGACGCTTTACAATTCGATGCCATCTCGTGTGACGCAAGTGATTGCCGCCAATGGGCGTTTGATTAAATACTGAAAGTAGTGATCTTTCCTGGATAGCAGTTATCGCTGTCGTTTTCTTTTTCTGGCTTATAAGAATAAACTGTTCATTTATCGCATTTCCTGGCTATTCATTTTGGATGCGCGATATTCAGTGGTTTACTGCATACCACTGCACGCGCGATATTCGCACCAAGAAATGGAGCTGGCATAACGTCTCCGAGACGGAGCACGAAATTCATTGCTGAGTACATGAGTACAAAAAAAAAATGAGCTCACATAATATATACAGCGTCAGGAGGTCCCAAAGTAAGAAACTGTCAGGGGGACCTCCTATCATTATTGGGGTACATAAAAGGTAAGTAACAGCAGCAAAAGCTACAAGTGCGAACAAAAATAAATAGTGCATTCAACACAGAACAATAAATAATCAAATCGAAAAAGTTAATTTACCAGAACAACATTATTGTTTACCAATTTACCAGAACAACATTTCATAGCCTACAGTTTGTGGGCTATGAAAGAGTACGAAAGTTGTTTTAGTAGGATTAATCTGAAGTTTGTTATTTCTACACCAGGAATGCACGTTGTTAAGATCTGTATTAAGTGTGTCTTGAAGTGCGGTGAGCGATTTATGTCATGAGTAAATGGTCGTGTCGTCAGCATATAGCAAACACTTAGAAAACGTAAGCGTATTAGGTAAGTCATTTATGAATAGTAGAAATAACAACGGACCTAATATAGAACCTTGGGGAACACCGCAGTTAATTAATTTAGTCGATGAAAATTGACCATTAAGGTATACGACTTGTGGCCTGTTAGACAAGGAGCTACGAATAAGATTTAGAGTTGGGCCAGTAGTACCAAAAGACTCGAGCTTATCCAGAAGAATAGAATGTTCTAGTGTGTCAAATGCCTTTGTTAGATCAATGAATATGGCACCTACAACGAAGCCTTCGTCAATAAATTGTTTAATGTTATCCGTGAATTTGAGCAATGCTTGTTCCGTTGAATAACCATTCCTAAAGCCAAACTGGTGTGGGGAAAGAAGATTAAATTTGTTTAGATAGTACATCAGACGACTGTAGATAAGCTTTTCAATGACTTTGCCAAAAATAGGCAAAATGCAAGTGGGTCGATAGTTGTTAATGTTATCACGAGAGCCTTTTTTGTACACAGTAAATATTTTACCACGTTTCAACAACTCAGGAAATATACCGGTTCTGAAAATTTTGTTAGCAATATCTGCAAAAACTAATGATATGTCTGCAGCAACCAGTTTTATTCTAGACGGCCGGATGGAGTCCAGGCCTGGTCCCGTAACTTTGAGGGAGGAAATTACGTTAAAAACTTCTCAAGAAGAAACCGGGTGAAGGAAGAAGGACTGAGGGCTACGTGGAAGATAGGCTGGAACGCTAAGCGATAGCGTATTTTGGCACGTGGCAAAATGATCGCTAAAAACATTTGACATATCAGCTTCGGTAGAGTATTCCTTGTCTTTGTAAATTATTTTTTTAATGCTGGCATCGAACTCCCTAACATTCAGAAATTTCTTAATTAGCTCCCAATTACGCCGAGTATTTGTTCCGTTTTCAATTATTCGCCGTTCATAATATTTTCGTTTTGCACGATTGAGGACGCTAGAAAGAATGTTGCTATAATTTTTAAATCTAGCTTGCAAAGATGCGTTGAAAGGCTGCAATTTCACCTTTTTGTGAAGATTATTTTTCTTTATTATTGAGCGCAGCAGCGCATTTGTAACCCACGGATTCCTAGGAGACGAGAATGTGTGCTTATGGGTTACATGGGTTGTGCAATCGTTAATGTAATTCGTTATTGTTGATAGAAAAATCGAATATGCCTTCTCAGGACAATCTTCTCGAAAATTGTTATTCCAGCATGTGTCATGCACTTTTCGTGCAAATAAAGCTCCATTGAAGGAATTTTTCGTATATTGACGGTGCTGTGCACGTTTTCCGGTACCAAGAACGAAGAACAGGGGATAATGATCTGTAATAGAATAATCAATCACTCCGGTGGTGTAATCAGAGGTTGATGATGAAAATATGTGGTCTATTAACGTGCAAGAACCGGCAGTGTCACACCTAGTTGGAACATCAATTAAGGAAGAGAAACCATAGCTAAATAAGCAGTTGATATAATCAGAGCACGATTGAGAGCTAGGAGGAAGTATGTTTACATTGATGTCACCACAAATGATGATGTTCTTATTTTCATTGGTTAAGAGATTAAGTATTTCTTCTAGCTGTGAACAGAAGTCCGAATAAGA